ACGGACAGCGCTGTTTGGTTCATGTCATTTTCTCGGTCGGCGAGCGGATTTTATGAAGGGATTTAGATACCAGTGTCCATTGACGCATCGCATTGAAGGATTGTTCTTTCCTAACCTCGTTTTGTATTTTGCGCGCCATCTGGCTGTGCTAGGAGCAGTTGCTGAGCATTTTCCTCCCATGGTTTATTGGAAACGGAAAGGTAGTACTATTTCTTGTGACCGGACTGCACCTGCTGTACTCTAGGAACTCCATTGTTTGTCTCTTAATGGAAAACTGGATAAATATCTACTTTTTTTTTTTAGGTTCACACCAACCTCAGTCGTCTGGAGTTGCCGTGCGTTCTCGTATCGGCAGGAGAGGAGTTGGTGCAACCCACTGCGACATGCCTTTGACCCGCAACGTCGGTTTTCGGCAACTCGTATGATGCCCTTTTGCCAGGGGCCGTTGCACGGCAGCATGCCTAGGTAGATACATACCTACCTGTGTACTTCGGTCTGTGGCGTGTGCGTGCCACTGAGAGGCATCGGAAGACTCACGAGCGGAAGACGCGGCTCTTCAAGGGCAACGACCTTGGTCGGAACATAGCTCGTACTGGATGCGCCCCCGCACCTGTCTAAACTCGACTTTTATACCCTCCCCTCTTAGTTATCGCAACTCGAGGGGTTTCATCGTCGGGGCCCCGGCCGACAGGGCTGCATGGCTTAACCTGGGCATTGTTTGCTATCCCGTGGGCTTAATAGCAAACGTGGAATATTAAGTGGTGCTGTGTGCCGGAAAGGATCCGAAGGGAGGCGTGCGGTAGTGTTACCACGGAGCCTCCACAAACATAGGGGAAAGGGCTAGAAATGCGCGCTGGTCTCGTTGCGCGCGCACTTGGGCGAGGAAAGCCGTCGACGTCCTTCCAACAAGGACTTGGGCGCGTGGTCATGCAACAATCCGTAGGTGGTAATTTCACCCTCGCCTAGTATCTGTTGTGGATTGATAAAAGACAATAAGGCCGGCAGGTAGGAGGGGAAAGGGGGGATATGGGAGGGAGTGCACAGAATCGATACCAAGCAGGCTTGGTTGAGTGGGAACCAGGCCGCATGAGAGGCGGCCAAGTGCGGTCATGATGAGGCGTCAGGACTCGGCGGTTTGCAATTCTACCGAGTCATCGAGACGGGCAAACGAAGACTTGGTATGGATGTTAGCAGAGAGGGACGATTGATGTGTTGGCACCAATCGAGGTTGCTGGCCAGCAAGAAAATAGGGTGGCTGGGTGATTTTCACCCCCCCCC